AACCCTAAAGGTCCTTGCCACTAGGGATTATAGGGTTTAGGGCCGTTGAGGGTTTAGGGTTTAAGGTGCTTAGGGTCTAGGGTTTAGGAACGTTTAGGGTTTAGGGTTTAAGGTGCTTAGGGTCTAGGGTTTAGGGTTCTTGAATGCAGTATCCTACCATCTCATCGGGGTCTACGTTCGGCAGGATTCGGATCTGGGGGTTAGAGCTTGGTCTTTAAGCGCAAGCAATTTTTCTACAGGGAGAGCCTCATGGGTGAGCTTTCGGGCCCTGGACCCTAAACTGTTTACGCTTTAATGGGGAGCTTCAATGTTCGAGGGCTTTCTGGGTTTCAGGGCTTCGGCTTTGTGGGTTCAGGGCTTTAGGGCATCAGACATCTGAGTGGCATGTTCACACCCACGACGACATCCGCTGCCGAGAAGTCCTGGAGTCAGATTCCCGTATCTGTGCGAAACCCTCAGAATAGTATAGGTAGTTATTGCGGCCCCTATATGAGGCATGTTTGCCGGGTTGGAGCTTTGCCAGTTACGGTAAAAAAACATGATATAACTATACTCAGTTCTTACATCTTATCATTTCATCATCTTAAACCCTTAACCCCTAAACCCTTAACCCTGAACCCCTAAACCCTAAACCGCATCGAACTCTGAACCCTGAAACGACAAACCTGAATCTGAAACCCGGTGCTCCACTGTAGCACGACCCAGCAACTACAGTACACCTTAGAGCCCTTTAGGGGTTATTCGACTTTGTTTGAGCTTATGAGGGTTCAAGTGTTAGGTTTGTTGCTTAGGGATTAGGTTTAGGTTCGAGGGCTCTATGCTCGGACAAAAACTTCGAACACAAGGAGTCAGAACCCCTTGGCCCCAGCAGCCACTGCGATCCTCTTGTCGAAATGCCTCAAACCACGCTCGGCACGAAAAAGTCGGCGGTACTATAATGCAGCACCCTGATGAAGAAGAACCCCTCCTTCCAAGTACTCTGAGTGCTCTTGATTTCGTGATTTAGAATTCGAATCCAGTCTTCGACGCAGTGCTTACATCAAGCCGGAATCACCGTTACTTGTAATTCATGCTTCCAGTCCTATCCCGTCAGCTGTGCTCAAGACGTCATGACGCTAATGTGTCGTTTAAAAGAAACTGGTGCTGAACATCCCTAGGCCAAAAATACCGCGTCCTGGCCGAACATGAACTTCTTGTCGCCGAGGAGGGAGAGTAGAATGGGTCCACATTGCTGGATCCAAGCCTACCGAAACCCCCCAGGCTTCGAGGATTTCGGAGGGTTTTAGTGTTAGGGTTTAGGGGATCTCTGCCCTAAAGCTCGCTATGAACTTAATTAAGACCACTTGCATTGGAGGATGTGGGCTTGAAACGCCGATGAGGTGATTACGGGTTCAAGCAGCAATGTAACCCGTGCCCAAAGCTCAAGCCCCGCAGGATCAACCGCTCCCCGAATCCGATCGAGCCATTGGCGGACCGACCCTGCAATCTTAAGTTCCTAATTATAGAGAAGCCTTGACAACTCCCGAAGTCGAGCCTGGAGACTCGAAACCCTAAGCACTTAAACCCCAAAGACGAAATACTAAACCCTAAACCCTAGCCCCTAAAACTCCAAAACCCCACAGCGCTAGAACCCCAAAGCGTTGCGGCTGGTTGCTTTAAGTTCGAGCTGAGGGACGATATCCTGCACTGCTATCAAGTCTGAAAAGATTAAAGGTTCTCGACAGTTGCGTTTCACTCTCCGAGAAAACAAGCCACATACCTCCTGTAGTTCAGCCTACTTGTGGCAATGCAGGATTCGGTCAGCAGCAGGATGAAGCTACGAAGGCAGTGGCAGTAGTATCATGCCGTCATCGGGAGCAAGGACAACGATCTGCGACAAAGCCATCTATAGTGTTGCGAACGATAGCAAAAGGAACTAGGACAGCAAGGCAAATCGCACCCCTGAGCCTTAGGCCCTATAACCCCTAAAGGCCCTAAATCGATCTTCTTTGCAGGCCTGGTGGTTCAGCTCAACTGCCTTCTCCTCATCGCCAGGGGTTTTGCATTCAAGGACCATCTGGATGGGCGAAGATGTGGCCGTCCTTCGTGAAGGATTGGAAGGTGGGGTGATAGGACGTCAGGGTTTAAAAAATTGGAGCTCAGGGCTTTCGGCTTTGGGCTTTGAGCCTTTTTGCTTCGTGGTGTTCCGGCCTGGGCTTGCTTAGGCTTCGGAGTCGGAGAGGTTTGAGCCCATGCTCTCATGGGCAACTGATGGCAACAGGGCGTTTCGGGGGTTACTGCAAGGCTTTCTGCAAGGATTACAACAAGGGTTACCATACAACTTTACTAGGATTGCCCTTGAACTGATGTGCCCCCAAGGAATGGCAGGAACAAGCAACTGAGTTTTCTGAACCCATGATGAAAAACCTGAACCCTTCACCCTCGGCCCTAAACTTAGCATTAAACCGTCACAATTCATCGTGCAAGCGAATATGTAGTGCGGCACCTTCCCCTAGCCAGGCCGGGAACGAACATCCCACTGCGTTATCACAACCGCAGCTTAGGGTTTAGGGTTTAGGGGTGACGGTTCAAGGCCAGGGCTCAGGTTATCGATGGTCCCGGAGCAGTAGAAAGCAAGCTGGTAGAACAGCGACGCAAACTCGGGCTGGTCTAGCGGTGCGAATTTCCTGTCTTTGTCAAAGAGCTGGAGGATGTATAAGCAGATCCTGAACTTGAGGCTTCAGAGACATGGGGCTTTTTGAGGGGTTTAAGGCTGTTTTGGGGGTTTAGGGTCTAGGGTCTATCAGGGTTTCAGGATTTTTGGGGGTGTTTAGGGTTTAGGGTCTATAAGGGTTTAAGGATTTTTGGGGGTTTAGGGGTTGGATCGGTTCGAGGGGTCAGGGATTCTGATGCCTCGCAGCTATCCTCTGCAAACCTTGCACGACAGTTTTCGAACTCCTCAGGCAGCAATCCTAACCAGGCAGTGTATGGTTTGGGTGTGCCTGTTGTTCCTCCTTTTTTGGATGGGCTGGGCCGGGGCGGAGGGGGGAGGGGATTACGGGCCCTTACAAACCAAACTTGGACCCCAACCTCAGCACGAAGATCGGTTTGCTAATTTCGCTCCAGCTAAGAGTCGCGCTGCTGTCGAACATCACTGTACTTCCATGCTGCAGCGCAGGAACTTTGCCGTTTGGGTTGAGCTTCAAGTACCACTCTGGCTTGTCCTCCCGCAATCAGTGGGTTTGGGGCCACGGAGACTATAACATACTAACTTACTTTGGCACTATCACAAGAATGGCAACCATGGTCTATTCATGACGGCTGTCAGCTGTGGAAACTCTCCTATTTAACGGTGCTACAGCCTTAAGCCCTAGGGAAAAAACACCAAAAAAGACCTGGTCCAACCCAGACTTTCCTTGCGGAAGGTGGCTGGATCAAAGACATGAACACGCATCGGTGGCAGGTTCTCGTAGATTGCTTGGAGCTCTTCATACCTGGGCCGGTGCAGCTCAAAGTCTTGGGTTAGGGATTTAGGGTTGAGGGTTTAGGGGTTTAGGGTTGTGGTTTAATGGCTTGGGGTTTAGGGGGTTAGGGTTTATGAGATTTAGGGGTTTAGGGTTTAGGGGTTTAGGGTTCATACGGGATTGTTAGGGGGGGGTTAGGCTGGTGAGTTCCCTTTCGTTCCCTTTCAGGTGGCAGGCTTGTATACTATATAATTACTACTATACTATACTATACTATAATTTTCATACAACAATTTACTATACCATAATTACTATGCTGGGGCTCAGGGTCTGATTTTGGGGGCATTTGGGAACTGTAAGGCTCGGAGATCTGCGAAGCGACAGCCAAATCGCCCGAGTTGAGCGCGACCCATTCATGTGGTATAAAACAAGCTCGGTCTCGGTGCCGGAACTCATGGCAGCAGAGATTA